GCTCGATCACTGCGCTGTTGCGATGAAAAAGACGCGACATCAAACATTTGATTTATGCTGCACAGATTACATGAAGGTGCATGGATGTGAGGACAGGTTTCAGGGAGAATCTTTGCATGCTGTAAAAGGCATAAGGTCGTGGCAAAGACGCAGGTATCCGCTTACCTTGCATCAGATGCAAAGTAGTACTCCACAGCTTTCTCATCCACAGGGAACAAGCAGGTGTCCTGGTCCATTCTGGGAAGGGCACTGCAGCCCTTCTTGTCTTTGCCAGCTTGGAAATAAAAGAAACCGGGCCCTTAGTTACACTCATCCAATGACGTGGGTAAATCAGACTAGAGACAGAAATTGTAACTACAGGAGCGGTAGAGCACAGGAATATGATCGGTGGAAAGCTTGTGGTCACTGCGCACTCCAATCAGCAGAGGACTTCCCCTCCTGCACACAACACAAGAAAAAAACATTCTTTATGTTAATCCACATCTTAACAGGAGATATTACAGTACATAGATCTCGATATACAGCAAGGAAGACCATTAGAAAAAGGTCCAATGGAAGTTAGTGTGTAAAGTACATCAAACTCAAATGCATTTATATATATGTGGAAACAACAATAAAACAATTAGCATTACATAAGTTTTAAATTTAATCAGACCTAAAACTTGAATGGGATCTTTCTCTGTTATTACAAGAGTGACAGTAAATAAAACTTTGGCAGCATCATTGTGAGTGTACCTTGTGCCAACTGCCTCTCCAGGATAGTGGACACTCTTGAACACAAGTGCAAAAGCTCCCTCCTGGTGGGTGGAAGAACAAACACATCAGACAGGTTCTTTCACCTTCAGATTTCCTCAGTAGTTGTGGTGTGCATGAGCGAGTCCCTACTAGTTGCTGAGTCACACGTTCAACCAGTGTGGCAAAGTTGATGTCGTCGCTCTCGCGGTTGTCGTACATGTACTTCACCAGCTTGGCGATGGTTTCAGTGTCTGTCTCTGACTCAAACTCGTAGCCTTTGCTCTCCTGCAAAGACAAAGTGAGAGAGTAAGTCTTGTTTATAAATCAGTGACGAAAAACATGATAAATGAGAAACTTTTGCTCACCAAGAATTTCCTCAGGTCCTTGTAGTTGGTGATAATTCCATTGTGAATGACGATGAACTCTGCAAACCAGAAAAAGTAACTTAACTTTAAGACATCAAGATACCTGCTCAGAAAACTTGCTGAGCTGTTGTGAAATACAGAATAAAACAAGAAGACTGTTTCAGATTTGCTATTTTTAACACAACTGACCATTGCTCTTGTCAGATCTCTGTGGATGACTGTTGAGTGGGCTGGGTACGCCGTGGGTGGCCCAGCGGGTGTGAGCAATGCCAAGGTGAACGTCAAACTCCACGTCCAGGTCCATATCCTGCTGTTCTAAATATCAACAAACACAGACAATATTTAGTAGCTCAAATGCAACATTGTAAGCAGGATGGCAAATCAAGGATTCAATTATGAATGCCTGACAAGTGGGCAACTTAATCTTTGCTTACTGTTGATCTCCTCATCAAGAACCTTTACTTTTCCACGTTGCTTGATCAGTTGGATAGACTTGGCATTAGACTCCCACTCCTTGCCGTTACCCCCATCAATCCCCACACCTAATGAGGTCAAAAAGTAGAAAAATAAAAAGGCAAATACAGGGATGACAAGGTTTAACTAACCCAGGCCTCAAGTAGTGAGTCAAATGCTAATGGACTAAACAAACAGTAAACTGGCTGCACTGGTGGTGCAGTAGGTCTAACCAAGCAAAATGACATTGACTGTGAAATAATTGAAATTAAAGTTAATCAGTCTTGTTTTATGTTCATCGGAAAGAAAAAACAAACAATCAAGTGTGACTGTCAAGAGAATATTTATGCTGTGTTAATATTACATTAAACTCGGTCAAACAATCAGCAACTTAATGACAATGTCTGATTAGCTCTCCTACAGGGAATCAGTGAGGAAAAGAGGCCTGATTTAAAAGAAAGAAAAAAAAAGATGAGCCTTTTTAATCTCTCACCGGCTGAGTCGTAGCCTCTGTACTCCAGTCGCCGCAGACCCTTGAGGAGGATCTCAAGGATCTCACGGCGAGTCCTTGGTACATGGTAGTTGAGATAAGCAAAGATTCCTGGAGAGAAGAAAAGAAGAGTCAAGATTCACAGCTGTTTTTTTCTTATGCTTAAATTCAGTTCAGATTTGACTTTTTACTTCACAAATCTGCTTAGAAGTACAGCTGAAAGCACAGACGGATTGAAATGTCTGCCAGACTGGTGTGTGTACAGTATGTGGTAGTGATAGCTGTTATTATGAAATGCTTTGCAATTGGCCAAATGCATGTAGACTTAAAAATCAAATATAAGTACAGCTGGGTAATATAGCTAAAACCAACATTACAATAATACAGTTTTTCTTTTCATTGAATCAGACAAAACTGTTGTCACATCTAAAACAAAAATCGTTACTCTCCATGTTGTATTCTTAATTGCAATATCTCAGATTTGTTTGTTTGGATGACAGAATGTTACTGTGTTATGTCATTTTAAAATCAGACCTAAAAAAGGCAATGAATATGTCAAAGACGACTGCCAAAACCAAGAAGAATGTAATTGGATTCCTTCCTGTAAAGTGGGGCAAGCATTATTAGGTGATGCTGGTCTTGGCTATTTAGGATTCTTTGTCTTACAGGAGGGGTTAGTGTGTCGGAAAAACTGATATAGTTATCTGCTCTGGCAGTAAGACCTGCTTAGAGACAATGGAGTGTATATAGAAGTTTGACGCTTTACAAGATAATGTCTTGTCTGGACAATGTAACGGGGTGGGGTGGAGGTAATTATCACAGTAACAACAAGACAAAGCTCATCCCAGATGTTTTGGTATTATAATTGTACATAATTTCAGGGTGTTCACAGCGTCTTTGTCAATTAAGCTAGATTTGTTTGTGTATGATTACAAGACCTACCTAAAGACCTGCTATTAGGGTGCTCATAAATCCAGACATGAACATTTTATTGACAAATTCCATAAGTAATCAGCCCCTCTTCCTGCAATCATTTATCATCCAAAGTAATGACTAACACTCACTGAGGGGAGTGACACAGTAATTGGCCAGAGGGGGGCATGAAATACAGCCCTGTGTAGCACAGCTAAGCACTAACAGACAAATGCAAATGTGGAGTCAGTGGAAAGCCTGATTCGACAGAGGATTCATTCAGAGCTGCAAGCGATGGAGGGAGGCACTGAGGGGCAAAGTGCTGCAGCAGGGGGGCAAAAACACACTCACAAGATCTACACACAAGATTACCAGAATTTAAAATTAACCGAAGCAAAGCCGCACCTTACAATCACAGCAGATATCAGTAACATCAAACGAATTTGTTTACTTATTCTAAAAATACCAACTAGTCTATCTGGTCTGATTGGTGTGCTCTGATTGTGCTGACAGTGATGAGACACAGAGAGATGCCAGTCACAAGAGTAAGGAGAGTGAAGGAGACAGACAACACAGGACAGAGACATACAGTTCTAGCAAAGCATCTCAGATAAACTGACCAAAGACATCATACAGCCAATGACAGCTTAACGTTAATTCACCATGACAGCAATGCACGAGTGGATCACTTGACCGGAGAGCGACTCTAGCTACGCTTTATTTGATAACACCACAGTGAAAACATACTGACGATATAAAAACCATGCCATTTATCAATCGTTTACACCAACAATGAATCCAGACAGACAGAGGGTTTAGCGGGTGGAAAGTTACGCGATGAACATAATGTCACCGCAGCCCACGTTAGCTGCCTGACGTTAGCAGGAAGAAAGCAGGTTACGTTTTCATTTTTCAAATATCGACTTGCTGTTTGACATCGTTAGCCACGATGTAAGACCAGAGTATTACGGTAAAACGAAAGACGGACTGTTTTATATTTAGCTGGCTAACAGCATCAGCAACACCAGCTCATGTTCGCTAACCAAACTCAGGTTAGCCACCCCTAGCTAATTTCCAGCCTTTAGCCTAAAACTAACAACGCTGGCAGCATTTAAGATTTAATTTACTTCCTCTTCAGCTGCTATGGGAAGCACATATACTTCCCCGCTGAATAATATACACGAAGAACAAGCCCAGTACTCACCACACATGTCTGCTGCTCGGCTGCCAGTTTCAGCTACTCGGACTCTGAGGAGCTGGGAACGCCTGTCAGCAAGCCCCGCCCCCTCTGATCTCACTGAATCACCGCCAACCGCCATATTTCATGGCGCCCTCTGATTGGCCGAGCGCCCTGTCAGTCAAGTTGCACCTACGGACGTACGCTTTCCTGACGTGGCATCAGGATGCGATCAGGGGGCAGAGCACGCAGCACATCCTGCAGCCAACATCACTAAAACCAACATCACCGGACAGAGGCGGGCCTGTGCTGTAAGCCTGCTGTTACTGAATATACAGGCAGGTCAACTGATGAAGGCGTTAATGACAGTATACAGCAGCTGATAAGTCATTACGTCAATAAAATATCAAATGCACTCATATTTGCCATCAATGCAATGCTGAAGTCAGGATTGTAGAAATGCTGAGGACTCTGAAGTTAATCTACCCACCATTTTTAAAAGGTATTTTGACCAGTAAATGTACTGAGGATTTAAAAAATAAATTTTATTTAACATTCCTCAAATTTACAGAGTTGTGATTTTAAAATATGTTGTGTCTCACTGGAAAATGAAAGCCATTTAAACCCCTAAGGGAAGAGTACAGTTATAGTTAGCCCCACCTTATTTTTAAAAATTGTTGGCAAATAGTATGATTCTGGCAGTGACTTCTACAAACTGCTGGATTTGTATGTTTGCTATGGAAAATGCTTGTAAGAAGGCATAGTTCTTCGTATAACTATTTCACTCAAAATGCAAAACGGGAAAAATTGCCGTTGAATTAATTGAGACCCAACAAATCCACAGATAAAACATAGGTACACACAGTCATAAAATATTTCAGAAAATTTTATTTATATACATACAGTATATATGCATTTTGACCCTAAAGGCTGTGTTTGACTGCTGACTGATTCATCCATCCATTGGTTATACACCCACCTCCTCGTGGGGTGCTGGAGCCTATCCTAGCAGACACCCTGAACAGGCTACAGGTCAGCAGACAGATTCAGAAAATGTCAAACAATGTGAAATAATAAATATCAGTCATTTCAGCCTCACGGTCATCCGTTCCTATGACCAGGGTTTTCACACCTACATTTTGCGAAATACTGTCGTTGTACAGAAAAAAGCTACCAAAATCAATAATAACATCTGGATAAATAAGGGTGACAAGATCTTTCACACAGCTGTGTTATACAACAGGTCATTTTATTGCAACTATGACTTGCATTAAAGCAGGTGGCTGGCAGAGAGAGAGAAAGAGGAATGTGTAAATGTAGCTGTGGTTTCAGTAGTTCAAACTTGAGCAGCCTCCTCCTCCTCATCTTTCACCTGTGGAAAAAACACGTAACTGGTTACCATTTTCAAGGTGCCATTTTTCTTGAGGTTATTTTATTGACTGCATTTTGTAGAGTTTGGTTGCTCTGTAACTGCATTCTACTTGACCATGAGGAATGAGGAAAAGGAGTAAAGCTATGTGTCAACAAGTATGTTATAAAAGGGAATTTAAAGATAAACACAACCAGTTTTACAGGCTTTTAGACATTCCAACAGGTAAGACAACTGCTTGTTTTTGCAATACGAACGATGAAGTGACAACTAAACCTGATACAATATGATCATTATTTACAGCTAAATGCAGTAGTTTTGACAAATTACATGTTTTGCTGACCTTTGAAGCGATAAGAAATAAATATAGCCTCAAGGTCAAACTAACATTAATAAATGTTAATGTATTGTCACTATTATTATTTATGAACTAATAACCAGAAGAAAATGAAACAGAAATTTTGCTAGATGCACAAGTTTGGGCTACTTGTATAGTCTTCATTAACTCCTTAGGCCTAAGTTGGCTTGTTTTGAGTCTTCAAATCTCATGCTGTCATTCAATATTGATGGATTCCCTTTAAGCTACTGACAGAGGATCTGAAAATGAAGCCCAATGATGACTACAAAGCAGTGACAGGACAGAAATGAAAAGCAAAACCCCCACATGAGAGCAAACAAGCTGCAGAAAGGTTTAGCAGAAACAGAAGTGGTGGCACACCTTTCTACAGTGTAGCACCAATAAACAAACAAGTCACCAGAAACAAACCTTCATCTGCAACTTCATCGTCTCTCGGGCAAAAATTCGCCAACGTTGTGTTGTTAGAAACTAGATTGTTTTGCCCCTGTGGCTGTTTGCCTCCCCAAAACAGTCAAGTTGCAGTTTAAATCTGACTGTCCAGACTTGAACTTTGATGTAATGACTTCATCATTTTATCCTATTAGACATTTGCATGAGACGTAGTCATAGTTAGCATGTGAATGCTTGAGTTATATCCAAAAAAAACATTTTTTTTGGGGGGGGGGGAGGGTTATAGTGACCTTTGAGCACCAAATTCTACTCAGTTCATCCTTGAGTCCAAAAGACTATTTGTGCCAGATGCAATAAAATTCCACTCAGGCTTTCGTGATTTATAGTGTTCACAAGAATGGAATGAATGTGCGGTCACAGTGACCTTTAACAACTGAAATATAATCAGTTCTTCCTCGAATTCAAGTGAATGTTTGTGAAAGAATTTCCTTTTAAGCATTTAAGAGGCATCGTGTTCACAAGAACAGGACGGAAAGGTTTTCCCGGTATGGAGGCAAAAATAAGGAGCAGCATTTTATGAAACAAATATCTTGCCAGCTGTTAAACATGGAAGTGGGTTAGGGTGTTCAAGAAAACTCAGCATGGATAGAGGAATAAATGGCTTCTGCCGAATATGAGCAGATTCTGGATGCAAATGTCAAAGTTTTGCATTCAGCTACAGCTATGACTTTACTGTCAACACAACTGTGAAAGAGATCCTTTTACTCAACAGTCGAAATATGTTCATTGCACCACTGCAACTAATGTGAAGCAGCATGTGTAGAGCAAACAAAAGAAAAGAGAACAAACCTGCTCAACTGATTCAACTTCAGGGACGTAAAACTGCAGCATGTTTTGGATTCCACTCTTCAAAGTAATAATTGAACTGGGGCAGCTGGTGCAGGAGCCCTGCAGCTTCAATTTAACAATGCCGTCTTCAAATCCCCGATACAGAACATCACCTCCATCCTCCTGCACTGTTGGCCTGGAGAACGAGGGCATCGACATGTGAGAAAAGGACAAGAAGCCACAGCAGCAAGCACTGATAACAGAATTCCTCCACATGAACAGGTACCTTATTCGAGTATCCAACAGTTCTTTGATCATAGCAACTACTTCATCATCATCATCTGACGGTGCTGAAAAGAGAAATGAAAATTGGAGAACTTTGTCATTTGAAAAAAGCTTGCCCTACCAGTTCTGTCTATTTCAGTGTTTGCCTTGCACAGCTGATTGAAATTCTGACCTGTATCTGCACTAGGCTTGCTGTCCTCATTGACAATAGGAAGTCCAGATGTAAAAAAGTCCATAATGGCAGCATACACATCAGGTTTAATTACTTTCCATTCCATATGTGCATCAGACTAAGTGGAGAGAAAGAGGAAACAAGTTATTCCAAACAATGGCATTACGCAGTACGACAGTAGATTAAGTAAAACAAAACCTGTCTTTACCTTTGTGATGGTAATAAAGTCGGGGCCCAGGAAGACACTCTTGACTCCATCAATCCTAAACAGCTGTCTGAAGACAACACATAGCATACATGAGGTTTGAGTACATTTGACACAAATTAAAAAGTTAACTTTACATAACAAATCATTATATATATATATAAAATGGGTATTATGCTTAAAATAAAAAGATAAGTGCACATGTGCAAGTTTTATGCATATAACCCCAGCCATGCCCACGAATATTAACTAATGTTGTAATAACACAGTGATGCAAATATTTATTTCTGTTTATATCTGTTAGAATTTCTTTAGAACACCAGCTCCAGAGTCAAAAACACCCGGCAGTGCACAGAGTAGTCTACTGTTTTTGCTTTGCAAGAATTAAAATGCTATTTAGTGTTATTTTGTAGAAGTTTAAGGTTGCTTTGGTTACTGCGCTACTAATCTGCACAGATGACTTGCCAAACACAAGTGTAACTAATAACAATTACAGAAAGCTATTACATTATTTTAATATTACATTATTGTTATTTAGGTGTGAAATGGGAAAACATGATTGGCATCAACAGCATAATTTAAACCTGTACTTTTCATGCCACTCTACATCAAGATGTATGCTGTTACATAATGTATTACACATAATAAATACTCTTGCATGGAAGAAGTTGTGTACCTGGCTAAGGGTGAGCAATATGCATCACGAGGGCCAGCAAAGTTCATAGTTCCCTCTTCAAGAACGGTTCGACCAGGCAGAAACTTCATACTGTTTGGATTTGGTGTGTCCTGTGTCTGAACAAACATGGTCCTTCCTGGAAAGAGACAAAACAAAAAGTACAATGTCACGTCAGTCATGGCAAGCCACAAGGCTGTCTGAGCCAAGGTTTTCTGAGATAAACATTCTCCTTAGCAATTTTGATTTATAGAACAGCAGGACTGGCATCTGTTCAGAAAGAAGGGTAATTTCACACATCTCATAAGCGCGTCACACTATTTGAGTAGCCGACAACCATCTGCTACCATAAGATATGCTTTAGAGGGACGTTCAAGACCATCATTTCTGTATTTAGCATATTCAGAACTACAATCAGACTCTGATATAGTCAAGTAGGTTTTCACACCCAAGGAATTTCAAGGTATGATTTGGTGCATTACAGTAAATGCTGACAAGTGGAGCATTTTCAAAGAAGGATAAAAAGATCTAAGAAGAAAGAAAGTGTTGCTAGTCAGTTGATTGTAAATGTTCTCAGACAAACAAGGAACAAGTGGTACAGGTTAACTAAGCAAGTGCAGCAAATCCAGGAAATTTCAAGTGATAAAAAGTCATGGAAATATTTCCGTTGTGCAGGAATGTGCAAATTTACACATTGTTACATGCGCTAATTTAGGAATACAAACCAGGAACAACCCAGAGAGGGTTTTGTGGCCATCTGTTCGAGACTCCTGTAGTATGTGAAGGCCAGTGTAATCCAGTGCTCTGACACCCTCTGCCAGCAAGACTGAAATGGCACATATAAGAAAATCAAAAGGTTATTATACTGAAACTCACAAGTTTACAACTGTAGAAAACGAATACTAGCACAATGTCGGCCTGTTCCATTTACCTCTTCCTACTTATGGATATGGAAGTAATGAATTCAGAACATGAGGGACTGAGCGAGACTAATCTACTAAAAACCCTCTGCGTACAGTGCTAACAAGACATGTAATCTATTTGTAGAAGAAGTAAAGCCAGTTGTTATATAGAGCAAAACGTATACCAGCCCTACAATGATTGATGCAGTACATACAGCATTATACTTTATAATCAGAATAAGTCTTTTCTTGGCCCAGAACAAAGCACAAAACCCAACTTTTAATTTAATAATAACCAACAATACACTTTTTTTTCATAGCACCTTTATCTGGCAAAGTGTACGAAGATATTATTATTAGAAATAAAAACACATTCAGATATAGACAATGTAACTGGATATGTAATAGAACTGCACCTAACCATACTGATTAATGAGTTAGTTGTTTGGTGTATTAAATGTCAATCCCTGTTTCCAAAAAGCCCCACATGACACTCTCAAATGGTGTTCGTTTAAAGCCCAAAGATATTCTACTTCCTGTTACAGAGGACAGAGATTTATAAAGCTTGAATCAGAGACTTGTGACTTCTTCTTCTTCTTTTTTTTTTTTCAAAAAATGACAAAATGATTAAGTGACTATCAAAATAGTTGCTGACTGATTTATTAGTTGACAGTTAATTGACTAGATGCTGCAGCTTTACTATGTAAAAAATGGACATGGATAATACACAATGATGAAAAGAGAAAAAGACAACAAACATTCACAGTTATTTAGTATGGTGGTTACAGTACACATTTTTATTTTTTAATAGATATACACTTTGTTAATTACATGCCTATATATAGAATAGTAATGCAGAAACATTCCAAACATCTCATTTGAGTGTATATGCAATCTTGTGTTGACTTTTTAAAAATTTACTTATGTGTTTTTATTTATTTTATTCCTTTTCACTAGTTTACTTATCTTTTTCTTTATTATGTTATACAATCTTACTCAAGTGCTGTAAGTACCTCTCATTATCATTGTTTTTGTATTATTTATTTTGACTTTTTCCTCTGTTTGATGGGTTGTATGGCTGTCTGGGATGCGGACATTGTTTGGTGTTCTGTTTGTTAAAATAAAACAAAAACTCAATATAAAAGTAAAAAAAAAACAAAAAAACAAAAAAACAACAAAAACATAGCAAACAAATCCACAACAAAGTTAGGAAAATATAACGAATAAGAGACTAAAACTGTACATGACAGTGAACATCCCTCAGTACTCAGTTATGCAAACTACTAGAAATAAGCGTGATCACATGGAGGCACATATTCCCCCAAACAGGATGTCAAAGTTACATCAGAAATTTCCACTCAGAATCAAAGCCTCAGTCTAATCAAGAAACAGTTTCAAGGAATGGTGTTCAACCACGTTTTAGCAGTTTAGCAAAACATGAACTACACATGTGCAGTAGTCAACTTGTGACAAAAGAGACAGACTTTGGTTTAACGGGGGTGTGACAATTTGAATTCAACATTTTCTCCCCAAAATGTTGTAAATTCTGGTTTAGTAGGACAATAAAAGTCTCGTTTCAACAGTGCTGATAACTGACAGTGACTAAAAGTGCTAAAACAGTATAACAAGACGCTGCTTTCATCACATGCAGTAATATTGATTCTGCGTCACTCCACAGTTTAGCCAGCATGCTAGCCGGCTAGCTACCGTTAGCCTGACTGAGGTCGATGCATCCAAACACGCATAGAAGAAGCAAAACTAGAGGACGTCGCCAGCTCACAACTGACAGACATGTGGACTTACGGTAGTGAAAGTCTTGCTGAAATCCCCAACAACCTGCCGACCTGTCTGTACGTCGCCATGTTTGTTTTGCTTACTTAAACACAAGCGGAAGCGCTCGATCTCATTTCCGGACGTGACGCAGTATTATTGTACGTTGAAGTAAAGTTTCCCCCTGATAAGTAGCAACTCGCAGCTACCGTCCAGCGCAGTTTTCAAAGGCTAAAAAAAAATAACATTAAACTGCGTTTAAAATGCCTTGTGGCAAAAACTTCAGGAGAAGAAGAGGATCGTCAGATGTGGAGGAGGATGAGACGACCCAAGAAGTCAGGTAAAGGACTTTATTCAAACATGAACCGTAATGCTAAGCTATAGATGCATGTTATGTTAGCTAGCCAGCTACCGTCTGCGAGTGCATTAAAACAAAATTACATGTTATTTTAATGCACATGTAGTTTTATTAAGCTGTGTAGCTAATAATATTTAATTTGTGTGTCTTGATCGTTCAGATCGAAAGTAGAAGAAGCTAAAGAGCTACAGAGTTTGAGGAGACGACAGAACGGAGTCAGGTAACGTGAAGGCAGCACTGTTTCTCTAAACATGAACACGATTCAGCTGGTAAATTCTAAAGTATACTGATATATATGAAATAAAAACGAGTTTTTTTTGTTGTTTTTTTTTTCAAATAGCGTGACCGCTCTATTGGTTGGAGAGAAACTGCCACCAGAGGCTGAGATTGATGTAAGTGATCTGCTTGAAGTGTAATTTGTTTAATTTACTGTCAAAATGGTGTAGATAAAATGGTTTTAGTCTGCGCAGAACTCGAAGGCAATATTAAGCAGACAAAGCCAGAAAAATTATGAAACTTCTAACAATATTTTTTAACAAAGAAAAGCTGGTGCATTGGAATGGAAAGACGCGATGACACGCTCAGGTTGACTTGGCCTTTGTCTCAGTCTCTGTGAGACAAAGCCTGAAGATGTCGACCTAAATATGTTTGTTTAAATGGCAACTACTCTAAACTCCATTACAATAATGATTTGTTACAGAATGACCCTTTTAAACTGAAGACCGGAGGGGTCGTGGACATGAAAAAAGTGAAAGACAGAAACAGGGACATGTAAGTGAATGTTTAACTGCTTTATGATATTACCACACTGTATGCATTATGATTTCATTTCTAAATGCAATACATGCGTAATCTCGTATGGCACTGATTGACCCAAGATGATGCTTTCCACCTGCAGGACAGAAGATGAGACAGACCTCAACCTGGGCACATCGTTTTCAGCTGAAACTAACAGAAGGGACGAGGATGCGGACATGTATGTATGCTTTTCTCTCTTGTCACATATATATGAAGACATACCCTCATGCTTTTTGGGATTCAGAATGTGCTGATGTAAGTCCAGTGGCAACGTTAGGGGAATGGCTTTATCCTATCGCAAAATATCAAATGACAGACCTATAACCTAAGTTGTTTGCACGAGTGCATCTACATGTTAAACGGCAACATTCAGCAACTGCTTTATTTAAATATAATCCCCAAAGTGTGGACTCTCACACAGCTACAAAGTGCTTCTTAGGAATATGTTACAATGTGGGTTTTAAATCTGTCTTGGCAGGATGAAATATATTGAGACAGAGCTTAAAAAGAAGAAGGGCTTGGTGGAGGCTGAGGAACAGAAAGTGAAGGTGAAGAATGCTGAGGACCACCTGTATGAGCTGCCTGAGAACATCCGAGTCAACTCAGCCAAGAAGACAGAGGAGATGTTATCCAATCAGATGCTGAGTGGGATCCCTGAAGTTGATCTTGGCATTGAGTACGTACAGAAGATTCAGAAAATTTCATTTGTAGAATCTTCCAGAAGTGTTTTTTTTTTTTTTGACAGAAAAGACAGTCTGTTTTAAGAGCAGGCAGTGATTGGTTAAAGGAAAAGATGCAGCTCTTGGTGACAGTGTATTTATATGATTTCTTTTCTAGTGCAAAGATTAAGAACATTATTCAGACAGAGGAAGCCAAAGCCAAGCTTATAGCAGAACAACGGAACAAGAAAAAAGACCACGGCACATCATTTGTTCCCACTAACATTGCTGTCAACTACGTCCAACACAACCGCTGTGAGTTCTCTCGATCTGTGTACATTGGGGTGTGAATGGTGACATGATGACTCCTGAGGTTAATGAGAGGCGAATGGTTTGCTAATTGAGACAGTTTCTTCCTTTAGTCTACCATGAGGATGTGAATGCACCACAGAGGCACCACAGACACAGAGAAGAGCCCAAAGCAAGACCGCTGCGAGTGGGCGACACAGAGAAACCAGGACCAGAGAGTAAGAGACTATCCACAGCTATACTCTATGTGTTATATTCACTCGTATGAGCCACAGATAGACCTGTCTATAAACACTGTGCATGCTGTAAATACCATTTTAAAACATATTCTACGTTTCATTAATCCACAGCTTCGTCACCACCCAACTACCGCAAACGTCCAAACAACGAAAAGGCAACAGATGACTACCACTATGAGAAGTTCAAGAAGATGAATCGAAGATATTGAAGCGGTGGATGCTTTTTTTTTTTAAGAATTACAAAACATGTCAGCTTTACAGAGATTGAGCCATAATGATAATTTATGGACTAGTTTTCCTAAAAAGCTGTTAATGGCTGAACTCCTAAGCCACTGTTGTACTTTTTAATTATTGTATAGAGCTCCTGGTGGTTACCTGTATGCAGTACATTTGCTATGTAACGTGTCATGTTAATGATAATTTTACTTAACCCATCGTTTAATTTGGCTCATTTTGCTCAGGATTGTCTGATAACCAAGAAAAAAGGTGATAAAAGGACCAGAATATGTCAAAGTCCCTCTCCAGTCATTGATCACACTTATAAAAAGTCATCTCTGTGCATCAAAATTATATATTTAGAAGTTTTATTGCTTGAAAATATTTCCTCCTGCTTCCTCTGGGATGTGCAGATTTATAGTCCCCGCCTCAAATACACCAGCTCACCTATAACGCTTGTCAAATGCTGTAAAAGCACTCTACACTGCAGAATGGCAGCTTGTAATACTGGAGTAATTCAGCCACACGTTTGTAACCAGTTCCAAGACTAGTGATTCCTAAGCCCCACCTTACAAACAAACAATTTTGGTTCCTTACATTTGTTACTTAAAACCATTTAAGTCTGGATCTGTTTTTGGGAAAGTCATCAGTACACTGCAACGTCAAGGTCCAAATGCTCAGTTATGGTGTTGCTTATTTCACTCATGTCTTCCAGCTTAATAAAACATGTAACTGTTAACAAAAAAAACAAAACTTTCCATTGAAGGGGGTCTTCAAGGAGCACAAAAGGACATGGAAACTGTCAAACTGAGTGGTCCTCTTGTTCTGAACTGTTTAGTTTTGTCTTTTAGTTCACTGTCAAGTCTTGTAGTCATAGATTTGTGTTTTTCAGGCTTGTAGAAACAGATTTGATTAAAAAAATAAAACCAACAACATTTGACTTGTTTAATTTGATCTGAACTTACGAGTAAAAAAAGCAGACAAAACATATTACAAAAGCACACTTTTACAAGATAAATCTAATACAGTCGTATTCAATACATGAGCAAACTTCAGCATAGGAATACAAAAAAATGAATGTATATCAATGTTTCAAAGGTTAACTAAAAATTCCTAAAGTTTTCAATAGTTTTTTTTAAATGATAACTTCAGTAATGTGTGTATAATATAATGTATATTATGAATAAGCCAGTGTATGTATGTTTTTTCCATAAATTCCTTTAAACTGAGAGGAATGTCAGCTTACAATAAGGTTTTACTGGCCACCTTCTGCTTCTAATATGGTTTTTATGTGTTTTTGTTCAGTGCAGTTCATTTTACTTCTACCTTATTGCCTGCTAATGCAAAAGAAATCCTCATTTACAAAATTCTAGTCCAATTTCAAATCTCCAATACAATCAAACTCTAGTTCACAATGTGTAATGGAAACTGAAATCATCCAAACAACAGATGTCAAAGCAAAAGTGTCCTTTGCTCCAAACAGTGTCTCTTCTCATGGTTTCTCTATGGAGGCCGTCCCGTGTCCATTGAGGTGGTGTTGGGGGTTTGTCTCCTGTGAGGGAGGTCCGTCCACGTCCTCTCGGTCACCCTGGGTGGAACTGCAGCTGCTGTCTGGGGAGGCCCAACTGTCTCGCCGACGGTAGGCCTCGCACAGCGGCAGATCAGTGCTGTCCCACTGACTGTAGCTTTGCAGAGCAGAAACCAGTAGGAGGCAAAGAATCAGCGCAGCACAGAAAGAGAGGAGCAGACGAGAGCAGCAGGTCAGAATAAGCACATTCATACACATAGAGAAGACATGGAAGCACACATTCGATAGAAGCGTGGAGGTTATGCAGAAGCACTGGAAACGCCACATAAAACAGCTATTTATTGATTTGTTACTACTCAGAGGTATGACTGATCAACTGCTGATGTAAGTTCAGCAAAAGGGTGGGATTAGTTGCTGATGGAGGAGAAAGCAGAGCAAGTGCAGCGAGGAAGGCAGGCCCACACCCAGCATGCTCCAAACAGGACCGAGAGACACTTTGTGATACTTTCTCAAACAAAAAAACAAGACAAACCACTACAACGTTTTGTCTCTACTTTATTTCTCAATCATTCTGAGTCTGTTAAAAGAACTGGCACAAATTGGTACACATGTACAACTGCACCAAGTGCAACTGACACCGCTGACAGTTTGTGCTTTTACGGACGGAATAAACAAAATATAATCTCTTAATTGCTTTAAAAGAAAACATCTACTCAAACAACTGTTAGTTGATTTAAACTTTACCTCAAATAAATAAAAGCACGCAGTTGTGTCAAATTGTACAGTCCATTATTAAAATGTAGCACTGAGGCCATCACCATTATATTCATGATTTAAATACTACACATAAATAATCTTAAATGACTGTTTGCTTTTTAAAAAAATGTATATTCTAATATAGTTTTGTTTTTAAATGGTCATTTTTAAAAAATGTGTGCTCTCTTTTCCCACAAATCTTTGTGTTTGCATCAAATGCTTTAAATTCATGGATTTTAACGACCTCTTTTCATTACTTCCATTTAAAATATTTTGGATACAAAAAGACTAGGAAGCCTCAATACTTATACTCCTCTAAATCATGAATCTCTCTCAAGTACCTGATGATATTTGTTAAAGCATCGCTTACGTCCATTAGATGCTGCAGACCACAAAGCTAAAGGTCTGACCACCATTTAGAAATGAACCTGCAGTAAATCTACACAAATGTTTTGGTTCAGGATAATGAAATTCATCCTTGATACTGGAAAAACCTTCTGGCTTTCAAAGTGCAACAGTAAAACTGAAATGACTTCTCTCAGTTGAAGGGCTGAATACACTGACACAGCTGACATTTAGTGGTAAGCCCCTTTAAGACTGAAGCCCTCTCTCCATTGACCAATTATGTCACGTCATAGAGCAGAATAAAAGTCAAGGCACCTGCTAATGAGTAACAATGTAAAGGCACCGAGTGAGATGAGACAGATCACAATGACCCTCAGCAATTATTTGCGTCAATGAATGGCTCTATTTGGAAATCACGACAAAGGTTGCCAAGTGTCTGAACTAAATGGTTCCTTGAGCTCAGCAGTAAATGGTAGAAGGTGGACAGCACATGGTGGGACAACAGCGGGGCGGTGGGATGGGGGCAAGTATGAGCCTACTTGTACCTGGAGGAGTAATACTCTTCCTCTAGCTCATACAGGTCGACGGCAATCTCATCACGCAGCGACGTGAGCTTTTTGTCACACTCCTCCTGTAGTGAGCGGAGCTGCTGGTTCTGGAGGTTAATGGCTTCGTTCACGGAAGGAAAGTCATTCAGAATCAGGAACTGCTTCAGATCGGACACCAGTTTCATGAGGGACTCGCCGGCACGCACCTGACACAACGACAAAGAGGAGCTGGTTTGAAAATGAGGACTTTTTTAAAAAATCCCTTTGTCTACATGGAAGAGACTTTAGAAGCCACACAAAGTAATCCCAAAGTGTACAAACAGTTTTATATACATGGCTATAATACAAAAAGCTGAATTACTCCAATATCATAACTTGCCATTGTGCAGCTTAAAATAGTTTTTGGGTAAGAGTAGGTGGAGAAAGAGGTTGGGACTTTATAGATCTGCACAATCTAAAGGAGAAAGTTATATCAAACACATTTTAAGGCAGGAAAGGATTATTTTCATGTGACTTTAAAGGAAAGCTGCAGCATAAAAAAGGAGTAGTCTTGGGTTTAACTTAATTTGATCTAAATACTATACATGAAGAGCTGGAATCAGCTGGCAGCAGCATCAGTGAATGTCTCTGCTTCTAATTCACTTTAAGTTCTAAGTTAAGCATCAGGGTGTAACTAGCTGTTGTCCTCTTTCGTCTTTCTCTCTCCCCACTAAAACACTTACTAACAGGGTATCAACAAGCTATGAAGCTGAATGTGTTGTGTATTCTGGTGCTTTCTTTAATACTTACAATGTTGGCTGCTCTGACGTGCATCTCATAGTGGTCCTGCTCTGCTTGGGTCGCGCGAGACACCTGCGTCTCATCCTCTATCTGAACACAAAGGAAAGTATGACATCATTGTTTGGTAGACAGAGAGACAAAATGTTAAGAGAAAACATGATAAGACACGAGAGTGATGCTAATTATTGAGTAGCATTCAACAAACACACCGAAACGAACGGACAAAGTGGTAAAGAGCTGAAAAACGAGAGGTTGAATCTCTCTCTGTTACCTTGGCTGTTTTGATGATTTCTGTGAAGTTGTCCAGAATGGACTTGATGTCATCTTTGAGCCTCTTGTTGTAGTTCTGCAGCAGAGTCTCTTTGCTTTGAGGCAGCACTCTCTGAGTCGTCATGGTGCTCAGGAAAACACAGCAGACAGTTCCCTGTTCATATTAACACAGAAATACACTCAGCTGACCCTAACATTTAAAATGAACCAAACACAGCCACAAGTGTATTTCAGCTAGCAGCTAGTTAGCATGAAAAAAACGCATGCTTTCGTTACATACAAAGAGAAAAACGTAGAACTGTGCGTGGTTTACATATCTGTACTACTGTATAGATGCACGTATTGCAGGTTTTATTAAGAAAATGGTTATTACTTACTTCTTATCGCATAGTTATTTAACAATGTCGCTGCTGTTTAATACGAAAAATACGGCGCCTCTTATTCTTCTTCTTCTTCTTCTTCTGCTGCTGCTGTTGCTGCTTCTTCTTCTTCTATTGATTTGGCGGTAGGCATCCAACGTTCAAGTGCATTACTGCCACCTACCGGACTGGAGTGTGGAGAAAGCTTGGCAGAAAAAACAACAACAAAAGAAACCTTATTAGAAATTCTGTTTTTAAATACTCAGTTAGATCACTTAATATTCCCTTTCCTGTTCCCCCAAGGAGGTTCTGCACGGTTTGTTGTCTAATCTGATTTTTTTTTGCAACTTTTTCTTTGAGTTTTTCCTTTCTTCTTCTTCATATTGCTGGCATTCCAGCAGCACATGTTGAACTGTTTCTTCTTTGTCACAGTGCTGACATGCTCCAGTTGGATGTTTGTTTATTTTTTGGAGTGTGCAATTTAATCTAGTGTGTCCGATTCTTAAATGGGTAATGACTGCCTCTTCCCTCTGGCTCCTGCTCAGCCTTCTGCTCTGACCAATGTGTTTTTGGATGTTACAGAATTGTCTTCCTCTGTCATTTTAGAGTGCATCCATGATAGGACCAGGCGGGGGTGGCACAAGCCATCTCACCGATTTCAATGAAACTTTGCCAGTTTAAAGGGGTCCACCCAAAACTGCTTCAGTCTAAGTTTATGGAAATTTGGTCAAACTGGGGGGATTTCACCACCCTTCCTTGTTTTTTTTTCAAAAATGACCAAAAATCGCCTAAAAAATGTTCAGAAGTATAAAGCTCTACTTCTGTAAGAATTCAACCAAATCTTTTCATATTTTCAGTGAATGTTATCCTACCCAAGGACAATCTATTGTCAACATTTCCTTCTCCTACGACGAGTTCCATCACACAAATCATGTCAGCCAAGACCGCCTCTCTCACCCAACAGTGAAAACTGTTAAAATACCCGAAGTTTAGGCCAAAATATCTCCAGTGCCCGAGCATGCTTCAAAAAGCTGAGCATACCGTCTAAAAGGTGGGACTTCATACTAACATTATCTGCAATAAAATCTTTGGGCACTCACTAAATTATTTTACAGGAGGACTGCAAACTTGTCTCCCACCGCAGGTTACCCGCTTCAGTTTTTTTTCATGATAACGCGTTGATTCTGTAATTATGGCAACAGACAGAAAATGGTTACACACCATACACTTTAATGAAATAGAACCAATTATATTTAATTGCTTCAATAAAAACAAATACTTTTCCCACCACAAGGTACCCGTGTACATTTTTTTTTCATTGTAACGCACCAATTCGGTAA